TGACAAATCTAAACAGAGAGTGCTTTCATCCCCGAAATCTTGCATATTACTTGGCGCAGAGGTAGGCTGTATGGGAATTAGATTTCCTTTTCATTTGTGGCATGGGCTAAATATACTCACAATATGATGTTTAGAAAATAGGATTTTCTATGACTTCCATGGATCTTGGGGGAAGAAAGGAGGTTAAGGGAGATACTGAAATACTTTGGTCCTTGCAATTTTTTTAAATAACTGGATTCTAGTGGCAGGCGGCAGAACCCAGCCCAGACAGGTTTCACTGGCAGTCTTCCAGAAGCGAGATGAAAGGTCCTCTGAGTAGCAATTGTCTAAATGGAATGGTCTCTGGTTATTGTGCAACTTCTACATATTAAATTCTTTATAGTACCTTTATAATTAAATGATGAAATCCCTTCCTTTTCCTTTTTCTCTTTTTTTTTCCCCTTTCCTGCTCCTCTCCCTGCTAGTGCAGGAGAGCGTCTGAGCAACATGGACTCCCGATGCCGACTTGGTGGGATCCACTTCTCTTCCTGGGGCACTCTGAGTCACATACAGAGAATCAGGAGCTGATGACTGCAGAAACAGAAAATAAACTCTGCCTTTTCCCCACTGCAGACCGGCACTGGTCTGTATTTTGAGTCCCCGCTTGCTTAGTGGTGGTGGCTGTTTCTTTTGGCAGGGTGAGGGAAGGCTGCTAGTGCTAGAGACATCACGCTGAGCAGCGACCAGTGGTTCTAGCAGCCTGTAGGGATGGAACATTCAAAGGGCACTGGGCAGCAGAGCTATTTACTCCATTGAGGAGACTATATGGATACCTCCGACTGGGAAGGAGCGTGGTCCTGTGCGGATCAGGACCAGAGCCAGTGCTTCCTGACAGCGCAGATTTTGGGGGATCGAGAGTGAATTTCTGCTCCGGAGAGGTTAACAGACTTGATCAAACACCAAGGCAGGACCAGGGAACCACCTTTCAAGCTCCTTCTCCTTGTTCCTTCCTCACTGCCACCCAGTTAGCCCATTCACGGATTATCTAGGTGAGGAAAAGCTAGCAAGACTGGGGCCTGGGTTGAATGATTCACTTCAGTAATTTCCTTATTGTCTGTAACTCCTCTTTCTGGAGGAAAAAAAAACCCTATTTTTTTCTTTCATTTATCATTATAAAGCGAAGAAATTACCTGCCTGATTTAGATGCAGTTTTGGAATATTCTTCAGGCTTTTGGTATCTTATGTCTGCCTGCTTCTTCCTGARTATGCCTAATTGTGAAGCCTGTGTTAATTCTTTTTCTATTTATTTAATGATATTATTTTCAAATTTTCAAATTTTCACCTTGATTCTATTGGAATATAATAAAATGTATACAAGAATTTTAAAGAGGAGGAGCACTTYTATATGCACTAGTATTTGTAATATCTATCAATAAGAAATCTGAAGTAAGAGATGTCCAACTTTTTTAGCAAAATCAAACATAGGTTTGGTGTATTGGCCAGAAAGTAAAATAAGAAATACAAAYACAAAATTGAGGAAATGACCACGAATCTTTGGGAATACAACTGGTTTTTAAAACCACTGCTATCATAATATTGCTAAGTATCATACRGTCTGATCCTGCATCAGTCCATTGCCTACAGCTTGCATTAATTTCAGCCCAGTTCATAACCACAACAACTGCAGGATATTTGCAAAAGCAGTTAGGCTCTTAATGACTATGCTTTGTTATCCTTTCATAGACAAATCTACCATTCTCAGGACTGGAAGATTTTGCCTGGGGAAAAATGTAGATCTGTCCCAAAATAAATGGATCACTTAGATCCTTTCCAGCTTATGAAAAAAAAAAACATGCTTAGCAACATTACATTCAGTTACATATAGTATCATAGGCAATATCTGGGGCCAGAACCGGCATCACTTTATCYGGTTCCGGAAGAGGTGTCTCAAATTAAATTAAGAGCTGGCAGGAGTTAGAGGATAAAAGGCCTGTGTACCCAAGACATCCTCAAGATAGGTCTTTTAAATTATACTTGCCCTGGAGCTCTTATTTTAATCAGGAAGAAATTTCATCTGGGCAGGAATATTGACCCCCTTGGGTTATGTGATTACAGCAGGTACAGTGCATTCATAGTTAGTTCTTCACTTTTGCCCCGGAGGTGCTTTGTCCAAGTGCCTTCCCTTGCAATATCCAACTCCTTTGCAATGTCTCCACTTGGATAAAACCCAGAAGAGGGATGTGGTCCTGTTAAGATGGACTTAAAGGCTTCATTTGGAGCTCACAGCTGTTTCCTACAGCTGATGGCAATGGCAAATCTACTTTCTCTGGTCAACTGTGCATCATAAAGAAGCAGGYTGATATCTGCTCCTTGGGTGGAAGCTGTTTGATTACTCACATAAAGGTAGCTCTCATGCACACATATCAAACTCCTAATTCAACAGCTCCAGCGTACAAGGAATTTTAATTCATGATTACTTTACAGTACTTTCTGGCAAAAAAAAATCATTCTTTTTGTCAAAAAAATTACATTTTTTTTCAATCTGTTTCTCTAAAATGGATGGGCAATCCTATGGTACTGCTATCTCTAATTTTACTTATRAACAAATCAAAGCTCTATATTATTACATAGCCACTATATTTGCTTTTCCATGCTTTAATCTAGAAATGCCAAAAAAAAACCCCACAGCTCAACAGTATTAATGTTAATGTATGACTCTCTGTCATGGCTGAGAGTTACAGTATAGCTAGATCCTCACTCCAAAACAACCAAGTGAACTGTAATGTAGTATTTACCAATAAGAAACTCCCTCCTTGAACATTTCCTGCAAAGTATAGTTTAAAAGTTTATCAAACGTGCACCCAAAACCTTTACAGCAGGCAAACAAACTGTCAGGTGTGAATTCAACGTGCGTTTTTGTAACCCAAGGGCAAGCAGGTCTGCACACTGGTATTTGCACGTACCTCCTTTACGTGCACGGGTTGCCCTTGTGACCCTGGGGCAGCAACACTGAGAAACGGCTGGGTGGCCCTTTGCACCCACGTAGCTCCTGAAACAGGTCTGCAGGAAGGTGCCCCGTGCCTGAGCCCAGCCACGCCACCCTCGTGCCCAGCGCCGCGTGCCCTGCTGCGTATGCAGACCTGGCTCTCCCTGCGTGCACACGCACGCGTGCTCACACGCACACGCGGGCACGGGCACACACAGGCTCACATGAAAACGGGGTCTTTGGCAGAGCACCTTCTCCTGCATTTAGCCGCCAGGCTTGGGGATCCCACATTTTCCCTGCCGCCAACGCTCCAAGCGTTGCGCTCGCCGTCTCCCAGGGCCAGGCGGTTTTCCCAGCCCGGAGCAGGAGCAGCGGAGGCGCCTGAAGCCGGAGCAGGCGGGAGCCAGGAGTGCCTCCCTCTCACTGCAAGGGGAAAAGCCTCTCTGCTGAGCACACCTCTGTGTCCCAGCTTGAGCCCTGCTGAGATGTTTGTCCGCTGCCAAGGCGGAGCTCCCGTGTTTGTGCCCAAAGCACCCGAGGYGCACGTGGCCGGCCTCCCCGGCGCCCCTGCACCCGCACCTGGGCGCTGGAGAGCCCTCCGCGGGCACCGGCACCCCACACGAGAGCCYGGCCAGGCTCCAAGAGTGACACTGGCAGCCTCGGGCCCCTTCCCTTGTCCCCTCCCCGTGGGGCTGAAGCCACCCGTTCGTTTCACGGAGGTCACAAACACTAAGAGTTACTCGAAACACGGTCTGGAGCCAAACTAGTGATCCCAGGGGAAGGGGCTCCCCACGGCATCRCTTCCACGTTATCTCTGCCTAAGCCTGTCCTGTGCTGCTAACCTCTGCCGCTCGCTTTTAAACCCTATAGACTGAACTATACGTTGGCAATCRCATGAGAAAGTATCTCCCTCGTGAAGCATTAGACTCTAGCAGTCATTCTGCACGCGATTTCTGAAGCAGGAACGAACACAGGCTATCAAGGGACTTTGGGGCAGAGAATACATTGAGAAAACAAGTATTTTTAAAGATAACCCAGTGCAAGAAGCAGTAATTTTACCGTGACAGAAAAAAATGCTAGGGAATCATCAAAATGCAAGAGAAGAACCATGGGAGGAAAATGTTATTTTGTTGTATGGAGTAACCATGATACGGGCAGCAAAGATGCTTTGACTGAAAGATAATTTTGAGATCTTTTACTGAAACCTTCGTCATCTTGGAATGTTTTTTTACATAAGGTTTTGTGCATAGCTCTTCTTCCTGTACTTTAGATTATAAAAATATTTGAAGCAAACTGAGCATCATCTTGAATTGTTATCTTGAGGAAGAAAAGAAGGACCAAAAGGCAAGAGAAAGAATAGCACAATGAAGCTTCAGGCTTCTCCACCCTAAGAGACAATGATTCCTTTTTAACACTCCTGATAAATTCATGTAATGTTTTGTAGACATTGAAAATATTCCAAAATGTGTCTCTGTGTAAACAGCAACTCRGGTTCCCTCCTGCTTTTTAGCATTTCCCTTTGTTTATTCTCCATTTGAGGAAAGAAGCAGCCTGCATGTGAGCACTGCAAATGGTGTAACTCAGGACTGCCGGGGCATTTGCTAAGGGAATGATGAAATACAGACATAGGTAACCTCAGTGAAACAATGCATTGMTGAGTCAGCAGGGTCAAGATTAAAAACAAGAATCTAATTTATCTTTTTCATTGGAACAAATTTGCTTGTTTGCTTTATTAATACTCTTCACGTCAGTGCAGAAAACATCCTGAAACCATGGTGATGGACAGGCTATAATAAGCTTGGAGACACAGCCGACATTCTGGGGTGCTCCTGCTCTCACCCAAGCCCTGAGCGGCAGCAGCAGAGATCCCACGGGAAACTGCATTGGGACCGGATTGGGAAGCAGTGTACAGCCCAGCCCGGTCACCCATCGCAAGGAGAGGGACTTGGCTACAACGCCAGCCCCGACCTGCGAGCCCACAACCCCGGCACCTCCGCAGGGCCTGGCACGTTCCTCTGGAAAAAGCAGCCCTTACCTTTGGCAATCAGCTCCTCCAGCTCTTGGTCGAATCCATGTCGGAGGCACTTTCTCCAGAGCCCCATGTTGGTGGAATTGTACTGTCTGTTGCACTCATCGACCGGACTCATAGCAAAGATCTGCCTCCTGTTTCTTGCCAAGAGGAGTTTCCCTTCCCAGCGGTCCAACYTCGACCTGCTGGCCCTGAGAGGCAGGTTGTTGTTGGAGTTATAAATGAAGCCAGGATCATTTCTCTTGCCGGTGATGCTCTTGCACCTCTCCCTGTGCTTCCTGGCATCAGTTTCATACCAGTGGTCGGAGCAGATTGCCACGGCCAGCATGCCCAGGGCACACAAAGCTAAAGAGAGGCCGGCATAGAGCAGTAACCTTCCGGCAGCCATACCTCAGCTTCACAGAAACACCATGGACATCTTCACCACGGACAAAGCCCTTCGACGGGACACCCTCCGGGGCAGCTGCTTGGTGTCGCTTGGCGGAGCCGGCCTCACACACCCACAGCTCCCGTGGCCTCAGACATCCAGGGCTCCCGCGGCTCGCATCCGCGCTGCCGAGGGACGCGGGAGCGCTACAAAGTCCTGCCCTGGAGGCAGTCCTGGTGGTTCATCTGCCTCCTTCCTCGGCGGCCGAGACCTGGCGAGGAGAAACGCAGCCCCACGCGGGCACGGGATGGGCTCGGGAARCACCTCGGCAGGGGCGTCCTGCTCCGCCGCCACACGGATCCACACGCTGAGGGAAGAGTCCCCGCCAGGGAAGCGAAGGCTACAGCTGTCTGATCAGTCCATTAATCTCTTCCCATCTGGCCAGCTCAGAAACAACAGACGCGGTGGCTTTTGGAGAGCAGGTTCACAGCAGCGTCGCAGGACAGAAAAGTTCGACAGCGAGGAATCTTTAAGCCAACTCTCCCGGTGGCGAGAGCCAGGAGCTTGCCTTGTCTTTGTCAGCTGCTCGCCGCCAGCATCATCTGGACAGTCRCTTGCCTGGGCTTAAAGCAGGGTCGAAGGGGAGGGAGCGAGAGGGGGAGCAATCTGTTGTTGTTGCCGCTGCCGCCTGCGATCGTGGCTCAGATGCAACCTCCCCGGCTGCAAAGGGAAATTCGGGCGGGTGCGGGTCCCCCCCTCAGCAGATTTTGCTCACAGGCACTGACATCCTGACACCCAGAGCGCCTCGGCTTCTCCCTGCCAGCCTTGCCGTTCACTCGCTCGGCGCTGTTGTCTGCGCTGTCATCGAGGCAAGGTAGGGCAGCGATCCCTCCCCTGGAGCAGCCGGAGCTCGGGAGCCCGCCGTCGCTCAGCGGGCAGCGGTCGGGCTCTCCCACCTCCCAGCGCGGCTGCCTCCCTGGTGCCGGCGGGAAGGAGCCGGAGCGGGAACCGGAGCCGGAGCGCGCGCCTCCCGCTAGGCAGCACTGGCAGCAGTCCTCATCCCCGGCATGGCTTTTCCAAGCCCGCTTCCGCCGCTTTCGGAAAGGCTTCCTTCTTGGCGGGGGCTCCGGCGCGTGTGTTGCGCGCGGCTCGCCTAGCACGCAGGCACCTTAGCCATCTGCAAGATGAAGGCAGGCAGGCAGAGCTATGGCTGATTGAAAGGAGGCTGAGGAACGGGGAGGGCAGCTCGGGGGAAATGCAACCAAAACAAACTAGCGGCACACACACCAAAAAGAGCTCCACACCTTACAGGGGGAGAGGGAAGCAGCCCCTAACGGCTCTCAACAGCTTTCGGTCATTCTCGGCCATACGGCCTGATCTCCACGTAGGAGCTGAGATTTTTAGCTCAGCAGCTTCTCGCGAATCCTGTCCCCAGCATCAGCAGATTTATATTCAGACATTCTTTTTTTCTCCTTAAATTTCCACTCCCTTTCTCTATAATGGGAATAACTCACCCATCTTGTAGTGATCAAGAGCAACAGAAGGCGAGCTGGGGTCCGCAAGCTTTAAAAATCTCATTTCACCATTTTTTAACCCAAATAAGAGCGTATCCAATCTTCCGTACACCTGGGAATCTTTCCTTGTTCAAACACTGAGCCCTGCAGCCTTGGCTAAAGCCTACAGACAGAGAATACAGAGCACTGAGCCAAAAGCCAGTGATGTCACCCATGCAACGTGAGACTCATTTCTTATTTCTCTAGCCTCCTTAAAGATAAACTGCACCACTTCACAGACAGGAAATGTCGAAGTCTTACTTTCTTAAAAGGGGAAAATGGTAAAACCTGGATCTAACTGGATCCTGATGATTTTTTTTTGTCACAGTCTCTCACAATCTGTCACCTAAATCCAGAACAACTGTAGCTGTTTCTTACTGCATCAAAAAATCCCACCCAGCCACATAACACAATGCATGAGCTTGAAAGAAAAAAAAAAAAAAGAAAGAAAGAAAAGAAAAAACATGGATGCTGGGGGATCCAGAAAATAAAGACTCTTGGTCTCTGAATGTAGTTGTTTAAAAAGGAAATCAGCATAATCATCTCTCTTGCATCAAAAAACTCAGGATCGTGGCACATCCCGGCATCGCAGCACTAGGGAGCAGGCAGAGGGATCTAATTAGCCCCATGCAGTATTTGGCTCTCACACACCACAGACACAGCATGAATAGGAAACAACATGAGCACAACTGCTGCACCAAGAAAACAACAGTCCAGAACATCTGCAGCAAGCAGTGTTGCAAAAATCTACATCCACAGATGTAGATCCTACCAGCTTTTGGGCTCTGAGCCCCAATGTGCCTTCTACATAGAAAATACATACAGCCCGTGCTGAAACACCTGGGTTGGAGATGCTTCTTGGCCCAAAGATTCACAGTACAGGGACTCTGACAGCTTTAACCCCAGCCACATAATTGCATTGGCTACAGTGGGGAGGACAGATGGCAGCGAGAGGAGCTCTTTGTGAATCAGAAATGTGTACCTAGATTTTCTTGTGGAGTGGAACCAGTTGCATCAGCGAAAAAAAAAAAAAAAAAACACTGCTGGATCCTATCCGTTTTTGGCCCCAAGCCAAACCAAACTCTATCAATAAAAAGGGTGACACATCTCCTTATATTTTACCTGGCCAACTCAGCTCCCAAGTCATTTGGGATTTTCAGCAAGGTAGGAGCATTTCTCCCATTAAGATATATTTGTTTTTGTCACTACTAGACAGTCTATCCTCACCCCAATGTGATTAAGCAACTCAAAGTAAATTTGATCATCGAAACCATGGATATTGTGATCATCCGCATCTTGCAAAATGTCAATGTTGTGAAAACCAACAGAATCTAAAAAGCTCCAGATTAAGTTGTTTTATTGGAACAACTAGATAAAGATTTTTTTTCACACTAAACTCTTTTTGTTGCTCATAGGAAAGGTAAATTTTTAAGGATCTATGTTTTCTAGAAAACAGTTAAGCACAGGTAGAAAAAGAATTCAATTTTATAGTGGGCTTGGCACAGGCACATTGGTTATCTGTCTGGGATTTACCTATTCATGGCCAAATGTAAAGGTTTGTGATCAACAAGCTGCTGGACTCTACAAAGAGAAGATCATGAATATGTCTTTTATGTTGCTCCTGCCCAAACATATGTRCGCATCTCAATTTCCTTGCCAGTTTTTAGCTTCAAGTCTCAAGCTGGAGGATGAGAACAGGGAGCAAGTCAAACTTTACCAGTCATATTGCTGGCATTGATGGGATTGTTCAATCAATCAAAAAAAAAAAAAAAAAAAAAACCAGGAATCAAACACTGAAAGGGTTTAATGTTTGTCTCACTCCTTTGTGAGGCTGTGTGGAGGTCATGTGCATGAGGATCTCCAACTTTATCCACTATTTAGACTAAAGAAGGGGAAAATTGAGGGAAAGGCAAAATGGAGGATCCAGCTACCAGATCTGTTTTTCTGTCTGGTGTTGTTGGACAAAGATATTCCAGGGGACAGTGATACCCTATAAGGCCATAGTATCTACATCTCTTTTCTAGTTCCATGGTAGAGTGACAGTCTAATAGTCAAAGAGTCAAACAAACAAACAAACAAACAAAAAGCAATGTGGTTGGAGCCAGTGAGATTGCCAGGTTTTCCTGTCACTCCTAGGAGGGCAGGGGAATTCGGCACCCTGGGAAGCGACACTTGTTCCCAGCTCTCATTCTCGAGCAGGGGCTGAAGCCAGGCGCATCCAGGTTTTACCTTTTCCTCGGAAAAGGCATCTTGGTGGCAGTCTCTATGCATTTCTCTTTTTCTGCTCGCATTGGTGGCTCAGGCAGATAGCAACCCCTATCCTCCCGCAAGTCACCTTAAATGCATAAATGCAGGAGAACGCGCTGGATTTCAGAGGAGTGCTGCTTAAACTGGCAGAATTAAGCATTTTCTCCCTCATCATCCCCAGCGCCCCGCTCCTTCCAGGAGGATGCTGCTGCTCGCTGCAGGCGTTAGGATCCTTGCCTCTCTCTCTTCCCGGGATTAGTACAGGCAGCCCCATCCCAATGCAAACAGCTCATTATTAAATTCGCTTCCTCCCACCCCACCCCCGCCTCACCACAGGGGGGAAGAAAAGCAATTGCTGTGACTCTCCGTCAGAAAGGCATTAAAATAAATATATATATAAAGAAATGAATGAATAAAGCACGCACTTTGGCATGCTGTGCTGAAACGTTTGCCTACAGGGAAGCGAGGGGTCTTGGGGAAGGGGGCTCCTCACTGCTCTTAAAAGGACCGGTGGTCGAACACGCACGCTGAGTAGAAGACTAAAATGCAAGCTGAGGCTCTCCTCTGTGGCTACAGCTTCTGAGAGGGAATGTATGATTCCAGAGGGGAAGGCAGAGCCTGGTTGTGGTTGCAGAGGGGAAGCTAGAGCGCACCAAAGGCACCGGGCAGCGGAGCAGAGCCCAGCGCCTCCGTCACGGGGACGTGCGCTGCGCCACGCCAGCAGCTTTGCCTGCCAGAGCTCACCTCGCACATCACCTTCCAGGCAGCACCAGGCTCGTCTCCATTTCCTCCATGGACCCTTTCGGCCRCCTCAGCAGCCGCCGGCTCCCCTAGCCCGGTGCCAGAGGTGGGGCTGGGGCACATGCTGGGAGGTGCTGGGCAGCAAAGATGGGCTGAGCAGACTTGCTGGAGGTTCAGCTACAATTTGCTTTTCTTCATTTTTTTTCCACATTAAAATGACCTCCATCATATATTTTTTTTTTTCTTCTAAAGAAAGAGAGCTCAGTGCCACCTAGTGGGGGAGGGGATCGAACAGCTCTTCCCATTTCCAGGCATCTCTGCCACTGATTCCATCTATTCGTCAGGGACAGATGATCCTCGGTATTTCCCTCCTCTTTTCGTGCTCATCATTTCCCAAGAGGTGCTGTTTAACTTACCCGTGTTCCAGCCCKTGTCCTTTGTAACGTACCTCTTCCCGAAGCCAAGAGAGCTCCTACTGGCATTGTGYGACTCGGAGCAGCAGTGACCCTGGAGGCAGCGCGCTGCTCTAATTACAGCATTTCAAACACAAGACAGTGATCAAGCCAAACACAGATATAACAAATTATAGCTACTAATATTTTTTATCTTTCACTTGCACCTTGGACACTGGCATGGATGAATCCTCACTGTGGCAGACGCGCAGCTAACAGGCAGGTGAAAAGATACTGCCGACCTGGAGAAGCATCTCAGGAGACCTCCCACCAAACCACCCCAGGGACTTGGCCAGGAAAGTCAGACTGATCTGGGGTTGCTCAAGTGATTCAGAACGAAGCAGAGGAGCCATAAAGGAAGATCTGGACCAACGACATCAATCTGAAAGTCTGAGGGACTGTTTTGCAAAAATGGGGCATCTTAGCAGCTTGCTAAAGCTCCTTCTGCTTTTGCTAGAGAAGGGCGTTTTCAGCAGAAGCACCATCCAGCTGTGTACACACTCGCTAGCCATGTGCACACATACAGATGTGCCAGACAACCACGCACACCCTAAGGTCCAGCTGTGCACACAGTGTGTCTAGCTGCACACACCAGCTCCCTGGCCCCAAGCCAGCTCCTAAAGGGGTCTTCTTTTGCTATAGCCCTACAAAACCTATCTGAATCGCAAAGCTAAGCAAGCTGGTGAATTATAGATTCAACATCACCTGTGCAACATTGATTCATCCCTTCCTTATGCATACACACTGTGATACAATCTTTAATTACATCTTTTCTTTTTTTTTCCCATGGRTCTCTTGTCTTTTTCAATGCAAAGGATGAATGTTGCTCCTTTAATGACCGCTATTCAAATTTTCTCCTGCCCTTATCATCCAATGTGTGGTGCATGTACTAAACTGCAGAGCATCCAGATCCATGTTGAATAGAGGGCAATTAATTTCCTCATGGGCTTTTCTATGGTGATRTTCTCACTGTGGTCTGTGAGGGGCTCTTTATTTTTTTTTTACAAACATCAATGAACTTATCTTCMCAGCTCCCTGCTGGGAACAAAGATAAAAACCAGTATTTCAAACATSCCAGTATATTTTGGGCACTCAATTTATGATGATTATAACTGGAATGTTTTGAGCACTGGGAGCTTTCCTTCCTCTGATGACAGTTCTCACGTGCCTTGGACTGGATGTAGTTTTCAGTATTTCTGCAAATCAGATCATGAGTGACTGAAACTGAACACACAGAAAATGGGGAGCACATTGACATCAGGTGGTAAAAATGTCATTTTTCATATCCACGCAGCTTCACAACACCAGCTCTGTCAAAGAAGGGGAAAGTGTCCTGAGAAGGCATTCAACTGCCTTCATCATGTGAGCACATTTTTCCTTGGGCCCATACTTCACTGCTAGGCTCAGTAAACAGCTTCCAAATTCTGCACCAAACATCCACCATCTCAGGACTGCCCTGTTTTATCTTTCTTTTACCATGAATAGAAACTGGGTTTGTGTTAGAAAAAGGATATGATTATGGATCTTACCTCATAAACACAACACACGAACGGCAATTCATGGGAGATCTTTATTTTATAATTTTCTTAGTGTCTTGTTTCACTGACTTGAAGCTGCAAATAAGGAGAAGCCTAGATGAACTAAGAATTAATCATGGAGTCAGGAGCTCGATGGAGTGTAGCACCAAGAGAATAGAATTGTTTTGGAAGGAAACAAAATGAATTGCCAGGCAAAAAGCTGGAACAT